CAATTTAAACCTCAAGCTTGTCCATTTAATACTATAGTTATTAACCAAATGAATTGAATTATCTTCGTCTTTTTAAAACTAACATACATTTTATGTTTTTTTGTGACCCATAGAGACTAATATTTGTAGACTCTTATCTATATTTTTCAATAATATCATCCTTTCAAGTTCAAATTTAATTCTATATTCATTACCACTGAATCCGACAATTGTTTGTTGATGCTGCTTTTTATAAACCTGGCAAGTGACGATTGATGAAGCCATTTTCAACCTCTAATCTTGTCAGATGTATGAAGACAAAACATGAATTGTTGTTTTCCCCCAAGGATTTGAAGCCTAATATTGTTCAAAACTTGTGTCGAGTAATATTCCTTAATTTGTGGCTCAAATGAGACTTCACAATCGATGCATTGAACCTATTCTCAGCTTCTTGCTTTTGTGGGCTGTGGCAGACTGTTATGTGATATATACTCATTCAGCATGCAGCATCCATCGCAATTGCTTTTTCTCTTTTGAACATTTACTATAAAATAAGGGTAAACAACGTTATTTTAGTCACCTAATTATCACTTTGATTTTGTTTTGGTCTCTCAACTATTTTTTTTCAAAATCATCATTAACATACATTATGATTTCATTTTAGTTACCCGTTGTAAAAAATTAATTTATGTTGATGTGTCATCATAAGGTAATGTTACATCAATATTTCTATTAAATTTTAATAGCGAGTGACAAAAATGAAGCCAAAACGTAATGTCATTAATGATTTGAAAAAAAATAGTTGAATGATCAAAGCATAAGCAAAATAATAATCGAGTGACTAAATACATAGTTTACCCTAAAATTAATTGCCAAATCAAGATTCATTGTACAATCAACATTATTTTAGCAGCCCCTATTATATATAGGCCAAAATATTAAAAAATGTATAACGTAAAAAAACTTTACAAAGATGAAAATAAAAAATATTAGTTGCTTGCAAGAACAAATTGAGTTTAAATTAATTAATGATAAAAAGTATGAATAACCAACCAAACACTTACTAAACGGGATTCTTTGTTTTACATTGTCATTATAAGTGACCCACTTTGATTAATTAGTTGAAAGCTTACGTGGATCACAACTACAGTCGATGTCAGCATCTTCAACAAGAATTTTTTGTTTGATGAAATCATGATGGATTTCTTTTATCATCACCGTTCATTCTTTCTCAATGACTTGGTGTTAAAATTTGTCCACACTCCACCAAATTTTCATCACTCAGAAATAAAGCAAGCTCGTTCGCCCATTCATTATTTCATGTTATTATAGAAAAAAGGTTACGTTCCATTCGTATAATATGATTTTTTGTTGAGAGATATCTCAATAAAATAAATATTAAGATTTTATACGAAAAATGTTGTTGAGAGATATCGCGAGTAAAATAAGAAAATTTTCACTAATTTCAAAAACAGAATAATATGAGAATAATCCCATAAAATAATTTTTACGTCTAACCCTAATCTTTAGAATATATATTTATTCAGGATATTTATTTGACTAAAAAGGAAACTTACAAAGAAAAAAAAATACTCAAACTGTGTTTTCATTCTTAATCAACATAAAATAGATTATACTTTTTGTTTTCAGTCAAACTAATTTTTTTTATTTTTCTTGATTAATTTGAATACGATCGAATTCGGATCAAACTCTAATCTTATAATAAAATATCGGTTTAATTAATAATATTGATATATAATATTTTAAAGGTGATTCTTTCTAAAAATGCTTATTAATTTTGTATTAAAATTTTGGAAAAATACAAATAATTCTAATATTGTATGAAAAAAAAACCCTGATTTTGTAGGGAAACAAATAAAATAAAAGCAATGGTAGAACTTTCCCTATGTAGAAGACAATAGAACTTATTGGCAGGCCATCTCATTGCTGCATTCTGACGAATATTGACGGTGCATGTGCTTCTTCAAGTGGATTACTTTTCAGAAATTGTTTGGAAAAACAAGGATTAATTTAAATAAAATATTTTTAATTATTTTTTAATCTGAAATCAAAAGGTCAATATCTTATCAACGAATCATATGCTCCTAAACTATAAAAGATAAATAAATATACAAACAACCCGTTGGTCTAGCTAGTGGGATGAGGTACTAGGTCCCTTAAGCATAGTCAGGGGTTCGAATCCTCGAACGGAGAAAATTAGGTTGGAAGGGTCGCCCTCGCCTCTGCAATACCAGATATGGATTAATCGATCAAAAAGATCGGATGTCAATGATTAATTCAAAAAAGAAAAAAGAAAAATAAATATTCTTCTATTAGTTGTCTAACCCTAAATTATTTGCATCCTCTACAATTAATGCTTGCATGCATAATCTTGTTCTAATTTGATTAATAATGCACCTAATAATCCTGGTTAGTGACTTCCATTTATATATATATGAACTTCTTAGCCGCCAGCCTTTCAATTAATTAACAAGTTATTTTTCAATCGTACACAATCAGTTTTATTGTTCATTTTATTATACGAAAATCATAGCATTAAAAAGGTTATCTTATGTAGTTACTAATTATTTTAGATTTTGAAGAAAAACAACTAAACTTTGATGAAATAATATATTTTTATTATTAAATAACATTCCTAATGATATCAATTTGTTTCAAATTATGATTTAATTGCCTATTTTTTTTAATATTTTTCATGTCTGTCATATGACATATGTATAAAGTTTATGATGATTTTTTTCAATAATGTTGTTTTTAAAATATATATTTAGATTCTCTCCTTAAAAATGTAATGTATACTGTCATTATATCTAACACTTATTAATTCAATTGTTTAATTTGTTGACACTATCTTTCGTTTACTTTATAGATTTTATTACACTCAAACTATCTCCAATTTTAAAGTAACTTACCTATATGTTATATGGATAATATTAAATAGGGATTACAATTTAATTCAAAATCGATGGATTTTGATTCGACTCAATTCGATAAGGTCGGATTTTAAAAAAAATCATATTATGGTCAGGTCGTCGAGTTTGGGTGGAGAGTGAAAAAAAACTCAGACCCTATCCGACATAATAATTTAATTTCTTTAAAAATATTATTTTTTTAATTACGTCTTTATTTTATACCAGTCGAGTTGGTCGTATCGAATTTATACTCTAAAAATTTGGGTCAAGCTGGAATCAGATGGATGATATATATATTTTTGGGTCGGGTCGGATGAAAAATATATAATTTTCGGATCAGATCAAATTCAAGTGAAAGATACATATTTATAAGTCGGGTCAAGTTGACCAAAAACTCAATCCTAACACGATTTGTTATCATCCCTAATATTAAATTATTAATATGCATATTTATTACATGATCAATTTAAATTTAATGTGTTAAAAATATTCGCGTGATATGTATTTTCGTATATATAATTTTATCTATATTTATAGATATATTTCAATTTAAATCCGAGTCGATATTTAATATATAAAATCACAACTAAAAGAACTTAATTAATATAATTTTAATGCTTCAAAATATAATTAAAATAGTGATAAATTTTAAAATTGAAAGATAATTTAAAAACACTATCTGAAATTAATTTTTAATTGTTTATATCAAATTAATACATGTGACTTGGTAGATCTAGATCATGATTTAAAACACTTTATGTAATTATATACATGAAATTATGATTATAGCTTAATTGTATAAATAAAAATTTTAATTGAATTTAATTATATACTTTTAAAAAATAAATATATGCATTTAATTTCAAAATAAATATAATTATTTATGAATATAATATATAAACATAAAATAATGATACGTCGAAAATGACTTTGATATTTTTTAAAAATCAAATCAAAATACTATAAAATGAAAGTTTGTGTTACGTCATACATTCAACCAAAACTTATATATATAATTCTAATATTTAACCTTTTTATTATTTTTTCATAATTTAATAAATAATAAATAAAACATGCCTTCTTTTCATTTCAGTTGTTTCTACGTTTGTTATTAAAGTTATTTTCAAGCTTAGAAAATCGATAAAGATGAATAATATATTACCCACAGATTTTTCTTTATATTCTCAAAACAGGAACGTAGGATTAAATCTTAGATATAATATTATTAAAGTAAGTAATTATAAATTTTGAATATAAATTCTAAATTATGTTTATTTTTATCGTTTCATGATTATACATTTTTTAAAATCTTAAAATTTAAATTTGAATTTTCTTATTAAAAATAAAATTTATTTCAATATTATTGTAACATTTATAATATTATTATCAAAAACAAAGATAAACACAATATTTTATATTAGGGATGAACTTTTAAAATTTTAAGAGGAAGAAGAACTTATATAATTATAAGAGATGAAAATATATTATCAATAAAAAATATAAAAATATTTAAAACTTTTAAGAAATTGTTTGTAATTTTCGGATAAAATATTACCATAGCATTCACTTTCATTGGTCCAAGAAAAACAAAATGATGAAACCCATTTTAGTACGTAATAATACATATAGTAATAAGATATTATTGTAATTATTGTTGGTGTTGCATGATGGATAAAACTAGTACATAAGAGACGTGGACTTTCTTCTGAGTTTTTCCCAGAATTCTTTTTTTTTTACTTTCGATTTATAAGCATCGAATTCATTAATTTTTATTTAGTACCAGAAGTTATAAATAGACAAAGCACGATCGAACTCCATGACATTAAGCTGTTGCAGTGGATATGGCTTTTATGGCTTGAAACCTTGGCTCCTTGGCCTGGAATTTCGTTCCAGCATACACCTTCATATAATTTTCAAACACATATTTGGGATACTCTTCTGCTTCATTCTCCACCAGAGCCGGTGCCGGATAGATAACGGCGTCGCTACCGGGATTGTAAAACGAAGCGATCGACATTCGAGTCCCCTCAGTTTGTGCCATCACTTGGTGCTCCACACTTTTTGTATTTCCCATTGCTGATAACCTGCGTGTTCCAAACAATTCAGCTTCTCAACTTCTCAAAACATAATGTAGTATGGCGATACACAGAGAAATCGATAGAGTCGAATACCTCGAGTTGATCCCCGAGGTTTATCACGATGGAGTGGCGCATCGGGGGAACATCGATCCATTCGTCGGCTTTAAGAATCTGGAGACCGCCAACTACAGGGTCTTGAAAGAGTAATATGATGCCACCGGCATCGGTATGAGCTCGAAGGCCCTTGATTTTGTCCGGTGTCGGGCACGGCGGATAGTTGCTAACTTTGGTGGCGAATGTAGGACCGTTTGTCCCGTTGAATGCATTTTTCAGGTACCCTTTTTCTAGTCCAAGATTCTCGCAGAACAAGTCCAGGAGCTCCTCTGCTAGCTTCTCCAACTTGACAGCAAATTCCTTGATCACTTTCCTGCAATTTTTTTAAATGGATTAAATTTTAAGAAACAATGAATTACTTTAGTTCCACCGATATTAACCTGTATTCATCAGTGAGATCTGGGATTTCAGACAGGTTCGATTGTGGAAGATGGCGCAAGAAAAGCGTGCTCTCCCAGTCAACATCAGTGAGGTCGGCTTTGCTGGTGGCTACCAGTTCCTTGAACCTCTGCTCCATGCACGTCTTGTAATGCTCCTTCGTCAACCTTTCCACCGTGTCCAGAAAATCATGGGGAATCCCATGGTCCAGTACCTGGAATCCAACGACAAATTAACAGTAATAAATAATGAGAATGGTTTTGAATTTGATCAGATATACCTGAAAGAAGCCCCAGTTTTGACAGGCATCGTTGATTTTCTCGAGGGTTGCGGATCTCTTATCACCATTTAGCTTCTCCAAATTGATCACTGGGAAAGTCGCCATCTCTGTGAATTTACCACCTTTTTTCTCGAAGGCTCGCGCTTTTAGTTTTGATGTTAGAAAGCTCAAGACTTGTTTAATGCAGAATGGAAGAATGGCGAGGGGGGTATTTACGCACTTCTATTAAAACAGAATGGAAAAGTAATGGTGAAAGGTAATGCAAATAAAATTCTATTAAAGTAATGGAAAAGTAAAATGTTTTTTTTTAGTTCTGGAATTTCTCGCTTTTATTAATAGATTTGATTTTATAGGATCAACTGAAAAAATATTTTAACGTTAAAAATTTATAAATTAGGTAAATAATTGATAATCATAAAATTTGGAATTTTAAAAACCTTCCTTTCACATTATTAACTTTATTTAGAGGTGGTAATTAGAATTTTTAGATCGGCTTTAAGTTTAATTATTTGAGTTTAGATTGTATTTGATTTGGGTTTGATTAAGTCAGATCAAATTTAGTTCTGATTTATGATAAGTCCGATATTAGTCAAGATTGAATCAATTAATTTTTAGATCAGTTAATATCAGATCGATTGATTTTTTTATTTTTTTGATATCAGATTGATTGATTTAGAGGCAAGGACTAACCAAGGGGGCAATCGTCTCCTGGAAATTTTAAATTTTCATATAATTATTGTTTTTTTTATATTTTCTATTTTCTCCTTAAAATTTTATACGTGCATCTCCTTAAAATTTTATAATTTCATTTGCATAAAATCATATGTCCGTCTCTAATTTTAGGTAGAGTTACTATCATAACAACCAATTTTTGAGTTAGGTCAATAGCATGTCGATTTTCGAATCATTATGATGTCATATCAATCAATTTTTAATTAGGATAATTCTTTGGATCTTTGGATTAGTTAGAACTATTTATTTTTGACAATTTCTAAATTAAATCATAATCTCACATAAAGAGGAAGGGAATATGAGACTCTAGGAGAAGGAATGAGAGTTCTCATAGTGAGTATAGAACACATGACCTAAGGGAATACGAGAGAACAAAAATGAGTAGTTGACCAATTGATTAAGTGTGTTTGCTCTAATTTTAATTGACAAATTATATAGCCCCAAACATTTATTAAAATGGTGATTTTAGTTCTTTTTTTTATAGCGTTTTGACCCCTATGTCTCATTTAGGGTAAAAAATCTTATAATATTTGATTGAATAGTCGATTTGACCCTTGTTCTTTTTTTACTAAAGTATTTTAACCATTAATATTTTTATTTTAGGGTAATATGCCTTTATATTAGAGCATTAATTATTTATTAACTAATCTTAAAAAAACTTAAAAAAAAACTATTTGTTAACTAACACTTTTTATGATTTTATTAACACAGGCACTTTTTTTTTTCTAAAATAAAATAATTGGGAACAAAATACTTTAGAAGAGAGAAATCAAAAGCACTATTCGGTCTACCGATATGGACTTTTATGAGAATATGCCATTTTAATTTGTTGAGGAAGGTTTCTTCACGAAACTATCGCCAACAGATAACGATGCAAACTAGAAGTAATTTATCTAATGAATTCTAATTGCATCGGATGGATAACAGTGGAACACCCAAATTTAGAATAAGAAAAGAATACATTTTTATTCCTCACATTGATCGGAAAATTACTTTTCTTTTTCTACATTTATTTCCGTTCAAAGTTTTTTATTTATTCCCTAAATCGAACTCGACTTATGCTGGTTTTATAACCCAAAAAAATCACTATTTAAAAATAAAAATATATATGAAAGCATATATTTATTATTAAATTTAACATCACTAGATCTGAATTTTCAAAACACTTACCCAAAAAGTATCAGTCATGTCATCTGAACAGGGTTTTTTTTTAAGTTTTAATAAATATTTTATTTTATTTTTTATTAAACTAAGGTAATTATAAAATATTATTTATTCTAAATATTTTTAATTATTTGACAATGATAATTGGTGTTCAAACTCGTAACCTCTAGAAATAACGATTCATTTAACCATAGAGGTAAGTTGATTCGTGCATTAGTAAAATAAATATACGTAAATTATGTATTTAATCATACAATTATTTTTCTAGTTTTATTTTAATCATCCAATTATTCTTTTTAATATTATACATAAAATCATATTTTAGTTATATTTTGATCACCCGCTAACAAAACAACTTATATGATATTTTTTATTTTTTCAATGATGACGTGATATTATTTTATCGTTAATTTTTTAACGACAAGTAACTAAACTTAACTAAATTATAATTTTATGTATGATTTTGAAAAAAAAATAGTTAGGTGATCAAAATAGAACTATAAGAATAATTAGATGACCAAATAAATAGTTTAGCCAATAAATTTTCACAACTAATATTTGTATATTGTCTTTAGAAACGTCATTTAGCTAGAAAGTATATTTTCTCATTAACCTAGAATATATAGTTTTTCTATCAACTCTAGAGTATTTGACCATTTATTGTTAAATAGTGAAAGATATACTATCATTTATAATCACCATAACTTAATAAAAAAAATAAGAATTATCTGTATATGTTAGACAAACATAATATAATTACATATTAATTTCTTATGTTTAATTATATAAATTATAATTATACAATTATATAAATTTAAACTTTTAAATAACATTAATTATTTATAAAATATTAACATACCTAACTCATGAATCATATCTAACTCAACTCGAAATAATCTGAAAATCTAAAGATTGATTAATCTAATATTGACCAAATCTGATATGAACTCAATCCGATATTAGCCAAAATTCGATATCCAACTTAAATAGACTTATCATAGACCTTTAAATTAGAACACAATTTGATTTTACACGAATTAAATCAAATATAATCTAAACTGAAATTAACTCAACATGAATTAATTTAACTCGAACGATTTGATTATCACATCTCTATATATAAATAAACATGTAACACCCTAGTCCAGTTAGATCCGAAGATCCATGGATTACAATGTTACACGAGACTACAGAAATAGTGACCCAAAAATTTTCTTTTAAAACTGTTTGTAAATCTCTGAAATTTAGACATCCATAATATAATATAAAAACATAGTAATAAATTGGGTTTACAAATAACGGGGAGCTCCCAAAATACATCCACAAAAATAATGCAAAATACTGAGTTCCTGTAACACCCTAGACCAGTACGACACACAGTCGACCGATGTAGGATGCCACACGGAACCACCGGAGTGGCTGACCAACACCTTACTCTTTTTTTGTACTATAAAACGACCATTTCCACAAATAAAACATCCATGAAATAATATAATTTAAAACTTTATACTTGGGAGCTCCCAAAATAAATATTTACAATAAAAATATTACATACCGACTCTTAATAAAATTTATGACTCAACTGATACAACAGGGTTTATAAAATATACATGCCCTTAAAAAACTACTGAGATGTACTCTAAATTTGAATTGGGTCTGGACCATGATATATCTACTGCTCCTCGAACTCTCAATCTACTGACCTGCTTACGGAAAACAATCCGAAGGCTAAGCTAACTAGCTCAGCGCCACACTACTAAAACATACTAAAAGTTTGTTACTGAAATACTCAAGCTATCAAGTATACTACTATATGGTCTACTGGTCTATTGTTTTTCTACTTTAGTGAGTATACTTGTATACTCACTCTCTATTCTATGGTAGACATCATATTGCGGCTGAGGGCTCTGCATCTTGGAGCTCACACACCCCTCTAGTCTACCGAGAATGTGGCCCTTGGAATCTCTGGATCGGACACCACACTCTCAACTAGTCCACTCTTTGAGTGATAGACCTTGCGCCCAAACTAGCCAGCTTAAAGTGCCTTGCGCACTCCCTAATGATATCATGACTGAATCTATATTTTTGACTCTGCTATCTTTTCTAACGAAACTCGAATGTCCTGGTCGTTTTCCCGAGCATTCAAACAAGGCTAGTCTTATTTCACCTTACTTTATTCTCGTTTCTACGTTTGAATCAAATATCATTAATGTTCTCACTTGAAGTCATATGTGAGGAAATGCTGAAGTGTTGGGGTACATTAAGTCTAATTCCCTTAGAAATTGGCCTTTTTGCCCAAAACAAACTGAACGTATCGATACTAACCCAAGAGTATCGATACTCCTATAAAAGTTTCGATATTTTTTATAAATACCGATACTTTTAAACATTCTGTTCTGTCTAGTTTCGAAACTTTCTAGAACTTTCGAAACTATGACCCAAAATTTCGATACTCTTAAAAGAGTATCGATACTCCTGCCTAGAAACCCAAGAATTTGCCCAAAACAAAGAACAAATATCAATATTATCCCTATAGTATCGATGTTATACCTACAGAAGTCATAAAACACTTATGAAAATGCTATATTTCATTCCCAAATACCCTAGTGAGGTCCCCAAACATTCTTTAAAGTCTTATGTGATTACAAGGAGTACAAACAAGGCTAGTTTTTATGTAAACCTAGCTATATTTTATTTCTACTATTCTAATATTAATTATTTGAGGATATACTAAAGTTTTGGGGTACCACGAGTCTAATTCCCTTAAAAATTAGCCTTTTTGTCCAAAACAAACTAAAAGTATCGATACTCCTGGAAAAGTTTTGATATTTTCTACAAGTATCGATACTTTTAAACATTCTGGACCAACTAGTTTCGATACTTTCAGGGAGTTTCGAAACTATGATCCAAAGTATCGAAATACTCTTGAAAGAGTTTCGATACACTTGCCAAGAAACATTATTCTATCCCCAAAGAACAAGTTTCAATATTATTCCTTTAGTATCGATACTCAACCTGCAGAGAGCATAAAATAGGTGTAAAAACTCCTATTCTTATATCCCCAAAGACCTTGGTGAGGTCCCCAAACATTATTAATGTTTTATGTAGATACAAAGGAGGATAAATAAGGCTTTAAACATATTTATAACTCTAAAACATGAAATCTACCATGGGAGTGCTTCAAGCTCATGTAACCTACTACATTTCAACTAAATGACTTATACATGGTATAGTTGAGTCAAAAGTGAGTTACCTTTGATGCTAAACTGGTGAAAACACCCAATACTCAACTAAGGGTGAGTTTTTCCTTCCCTTTAGCTTTAAAGTTTTCTCCAGTCTCTCTCACTAGACAAACATCAAGGGATAGATTACTAGCTGAAAGAAATGGTTAATAAGGTAACAAGAACACTTCCTAAACCTATGGATTATTGAAAATGGGCTGAAATCTTGAAAACTCTTAAACCCCACAAAAACTCTTAAACCTCATAAAAATCGTTCTTGGATCCCATGGTGAAATGGTGAAGTTGAGGGTTCAAAAGAAAGTTATAAATATGTTGAATTCACTCCTTACCTTGGTATTGTTGAACTAGGGTTGTTGTGTTCCAAATTTATCACCTTTAACTAGCTTAACTTAGAGGAGAAGAAAAAAGAATATGAAGATTTGGAGAGGAAGAAGAGACAAGGAAGAGTTGAGAAAAAGATAGAGTATCAAACGTGATCTCACCAAGCAATTAAAGATTTCATCCTTTTGAAATTTTAAAAGATATAATTGCTACCTTGGTCCCTCTAATTCTGACTGTAGATTAAAAATGTCATTTTTAACTCCCTATTGGGCTTACCTCAAGCCCAATCCACTTTAATTTGGGTCAAAACCTATTACAAGTTAGAAATTAACCCAAGGCCCATCTCGGGTTAGTCCAAAACTTCTAACCTGGGATTCGGGGCGTTACAAAACATGACTTTAATAATACATATATTTTACTCTAATGATAAAAATATATTTTTATATAAATAAATGTGATGATTTGAATATTTTATGTTCTCATCCATGCAAGTAGCAACACCAGATTTAGTGTTGGTTTTCTCCATTGATATTTTTTGTTATTTTTTATTTTTTATTCAACTTTTATAGCATGTTTTCTTATACTTTATTATATGTTTTTCTCTGCATTTTGGCACATTTTCGTTCATTTGGTTGTTGTTTTTTGTTTATCTTTTTTTAGGGTCGGATTTGACATCGCCACAACTAATCGAATAACACTTATTTGTTATCATATTGTTCTTCTTTGCTTTGGACCCTTGGATTATATTTGAATATGATTTTCGTTTGTATGTGCGTGCGCACATAGTGTAAATTTTTTAGTTTTACACAGTTTTATGATCGTTGGATGAAAAAAAATTAAAGGCTAAGACTAACAGTAAGAAATGTGAAGATATTCAATGGAAAAAGAAACAACGAGTTAATATCAACCTTTTATTTTCCTTACATCCAATATCCTTAAAAAGGTGTAAAACTAAAAACTTTACACTAGATGTAAGTGGATCCTAACCCTGTATATATAATCGAGCGACCTAAAAACATGGAACCAACCTAGTTATCTCATTATGCTACAATATTAAAAATTAGGGTAAATACATATTTAATCACCTAATTATTCTCACGATTCTGTTTTAATCATCCATCTATTTTTTTCAAAATCATACTTATATATAAAACTATGAATAAGTAAAAATTCATAGACTTGATTATTTTTAGTTTTTTTTTCAAATTTAAACATTTGCAACCCGTGAAATTGTTTTACAAAGCTATTTACAAAGTTAGTATATACTTTAGTAACTCAACAATATATAAAACTATATTTGGTTCACTGCAACCACAGGTGTTGAAGGAAAATATTTTGTTGATCTAATGACCTACTAGTAGTCGGCCATGGAGCATAAGGGTTGTTAGATTCACCTTCCCCAAACGCTTTTGTCGGTATCCCTTGAAACATCGGCGCCGGTATTTGGTTGGAACTTTGAGCAAAGAAAGTCGGCGGTGTCGCCTGAAATATGGTTGGTACCATTGAGAACCCATCAGGGAAACCGGCAACATTGTCGTGGGCAGTGGATGCTGAGATATCTGTTTCGTCTTCAAGAAATGGATTGTATTGAAGTTGAGGTGCAATGGGTAAATGATTCGCCATCGATGGTTCGATTCCGTTGAATAAAGGTTGAGAAGCTTGTGTTGCGGCGGCTTCTATTAACACAAGCTCCCAGTTGTCGTTACCACCATTGTTGTTCCAGTTCTGGTTTTGTTTTCCTGCTTTTATAACTTCGTTTCCTTGAAGCCAGTCACCGAAACAGGCGTTGCCATTGGGTACTACTAGTTGATTATTGTCTTCTTTTAACCAGTCATCGAAACACGAATGGCTATTGGCTACATCATTTGAAGCTTGCTCGTGCTGTAGGTGGTGGTGGTGTTGTAGTAACCAGTCATTCATATATGAATCGCCCATGGCTCCATTTTGAGAAGCTTGATGATCTTCTTGAAACCAATTGTTGGAAAATGAGACGCCACTGGTTCCATTTTGAGAAGCTTGTTGTGTCCAGTTGTCGATGAAAGATTGATCGTTTTGAGAAGCTGCATGCGCCTCTATTAAAGCAAGCTCCCAACAAACATGTTCACCCTTAGATGAAAACGATGATGTTTCTGTAATTTTCTGTATTTGGGCATTATTATGATCTACGGTTGGCCATTCATCGAAGGATATGAAATCTATATTCACATTTTGCTCTTGATCAATGGGTAACGAATGGTTTGAACCAGTTTCAGCTACGTTATTGTAAGACTCTTGTTCTTGTTCATGAAACTGTTTTCTCGACAATTCCGAGAAATTCTCGACCGAGAAAGATGCTCTAATTGCTCCAAAAGATTGTGCTTGGTGTTTCATCAAATCTTCCAATGTTGTTGAACTTGTTGAAATTCTTGGACCAGTTTCAGGTTCTCTTTCTGAAACTGACAGATCCTTGGCTGCCGTCGATAGGAGATGAACCAAATGAGGCGATTTCGGACATGGGAACGAAGCTTGGTCTTTAACGAACTCCTTCAATGTCTCCAACAGCTCTTCTGATATGCCATGAACACTCGGATAATCCGAGGTTCTCCCAACTGCAAGTCTCTTACAGTTCTCGTAAAAACACGACAGATCTTCGAATTGTTTCCTGGCTTTAACGCAGTACTCGATGGTACTAATACATGATTGATGCTGTAAATAGAAGAAACCATCTAACACGAGTCCGAGTCCGTTTGATATGTCCCTGTAAAGATCGAAGCTTTCTCGTACGACGGCGTAAAACGACATCAGAACCAATCGGTTCGTCTTGGCGGAGCCTGTCGGTTTTGTGGCGATGGCTTTTTCAAGTAACCGTTGCCAATACGAAATCCGGTCGAGCAACATGGGTGGCTTCATATGTCGAACGGGTTGTTGGTTAACTCGACGGCTCCTTGGGTGGCTAATTTGTTTATCCATGAACGTGAACCGTCTTTGAAGCTTCCCCGTGAGGAAGCAATCCAAACGCTCCTCGAGATAAGCGGCGAACGCTTTGACGAAAGCGGCGAAATCGCACGGTCCGGAACTGGATTCGTCTCTGTTTAGGATCCTGGCTTTACGGTTCAATGCGTGGAGGACTTCTTTAGGGAAATAAGGATCACCGTCCTGGAAAACACGAAGGACGAGCATCAAACACTTGAGGGCAACCACCCAGCTCTTGGTTTTGCCTAACCGTTTGGCGATGGAACGGGCGGCAATTCCGGCGAAAGTACGGTTGGATGAGACGGTTTTGAGGATTTCGTCGACGTGACGTTCGTGGATGGGGGATTGGTCGTGGGTGGTGGCCTTGAGGACGGCCACTTCGAGGGTGGCGGAATTGGTGTTCACCACCTTGGCCAGACTGATACTGGTATGGTCTTTCACTGCACCGATTGCTCTCTTTAACTTGCTAGGCATTGTTCCTTTTTCTGTCTTCAATTTTACCCAGAATGTTATCTCAGGAGTTGTTTGTTTTCCGGCAAAATTACGATCCTTAAAACAAAAAATAAATGATTTAAATCGGACGGGAGGAGCAGAGGTTTTAACCAAAACCCTTGAGACTCTCCCTACCTTGTAATCGTGACGAACACAAGTAACTTCCATTGACCATTCTTAAATATTACTTTAAATATTTACTGGCCTAGTAACGATAATAATACCTTAATAATAACAAATACCTTAACCTTTTTGGTTATTATATGCATTGGTACGTGACTTCGATAATTTTTCTCAAATCTAAGTTAATATTTTTTTTTATCTCGAATGAATTCTTGAATCGGTACGTGACTGATTACAATCAAATTAATTATTATTTTTAATAAAAAATTATAATTTTATTAAAATTAAAAGTAAAATTTAATAAATGATTAATTTTAAATAATTCCTTATACTTTTTAATAAAAAATTATAATTTTATTATAATTTTATTAAAATTAAAAGTAAAATTTAATAAATGATTAATTTTAAATAATTCCTTATACTTTTTAATATTTACATAATAAAAACAAATTTACTTGTGGTACGATTCGGTACGTCGTTTTAGTGGTACATGTAGTATGCAACGTGCGTCGTAGACTGATTCATACTTGTATTCTTTTTTACAATCTCATATGCCACTAATTTTGAATTATTTATTTTTAAATATGTCCAAAGACTATGCTACTCGATCAATCTTATAGTTACTGGACTTGATTGTTAATTAGGGATTAAAAACCTTTGTAGGTTTTTCTTTTCCTTTTCATTTTTAACATGCTTAATATTTAAATTCAAATCGGAATATAAACATGATTACATTTTTAACTTAAATATTTAAGAAGTTGAAATTTCAGATTTGATCGACTTTAATAATATCTTTAAGGATGGTGTTAATCATGAAAACAACAATAAATTTCTTTAACTATGGTCTAATCATGAATTTCATTCTTTTTGCTTTACGAAAATTAAAAGTTTATTTTAACTTATGTCTACCTTTTTTCCTAAAAGGCGGTAGTATGATTAAAGAAGGAAAATCATACAATAGTAAAAAGACATTACCATGAATCTCAATAATAATAAAAAAGCACTCCTTGAACCCTAATGAGAGAAAAAAGAATATTCGTGATAAAATCAAATTTAGAGTTCAAACAACAACAAAATTCCACCACCAACTAAAGCACCACTACACTCGTGAAGGAGCATCACTTGCACGAAACTAATGTACCTCACCTAAACCATACCAACCAAAAAAGAACCTTCGCAGCAGTAAGAAGAAAACCTGCAACAACAAAACCGACACTCGAAAAAGATCCCAAAAAAAAACAGAACCGCCCACAATGAGCAGAAAGACGAGCTTAGGCTTGAACTCTAGAAAGAACAAACAGCAGCCCAAGGAAACAACGCAAACCTCTTGCAACATAAAATACAATGATGCCCCATCAAATATATACAAAACATCAAAAAATATGAACACAACAGAACACGAGAAGCTCTCTAGACAAAAAGAATAAGAGCAAGCTTCCAATCGGATCTAGCATATCCATAATCCAAACCTCTTATTTTATAAAAATTGAGAAACTGGCTATCATAGGATATTGAAAAATATTAAACAAGAATGATCGTGTTCACTTCCCATTGAAGAGTGGCATTGTGTGGGAATGGCTACTAACCAATAAAGAAAGGAAACAAAAAGACTGAACCAGAATCATGTTAGGATATCAAAGTTTGCGCTGTTCTCTGCCCATTGTCGAATGGCAGCATGGACATCAGCATTGATTCCTTCGTTATGGACTCCACCCCTCCAATTGTGGGTATGGTAGAGGTGCATCATTGTTGTCAATGCACTCCTTGACTTCGATTTCACAGTAGTAAAAAGACTAAGTTCGGTCTTTATATCTTGAATTGCGTGCCTAATAGTCTCTCGTTGCAGTTCAATCTGATGCAATTGATTAGTTTCGACAGTTCTATCAACCTACAGTCTTGAATACTCGCGATATGCCAACCTTCTCATTATGTATTGTCTACGACGTTCTTCCTTTTTCACTTTATCGATGTTCTTGTTTATTTACTCTTCAGTCGGTCATATTATTTATCACAGCGAATTTTAAGAGTAATTTTCATCTAGTAACTCTAAGAGAGCAACAGATGAAGCCATTTAATTTTATTAGATTTTGGAAACCTCACAATTCTTTTATAAGGATCTTAGGGGGGCAAAAAGAACAATTTTCTTTAAATTCATTGAGGTGGTGATATGTCACCATGATTTCAAAAAAAAAAAAAAAATGCATGAGAATATATTTGTAAATAAATTTGAACCTTGGACGTATGGGCTGAAAGGCAACAACTTAACCAATAACATATGTCAATTACTTGAAATATGCTCTTATAATTATTTATGGAATTTAAATCAAATACTTAATATGATATTTTGCATTTTAATGACATTTTATTCAAATTATTATAAGATATCAAGTCTAATATCTAAAATACACGTGTGTGTGTATATATATATGCATATAAGGGAGTCTAAATGTAACCCCCCAGACCAATGCGGAGGATCCGATCCGATCCAATCCGGGAAGTCACATTAGGGCCACCAGAGTGACCCACTGTAAAAATAGCGGAAATTTTAAAACTTTTATTGAAACATGTAACTTATAAAATCAATTGTCACTATTTAAAAATAAAACAGATTTCCAGACTCGTATATAAATCAAAATACAATTACATGCCCCCTAATCACATGTATCATTCTCTGCAACAACGCCGGAAAAACTCCCTTACTGAAGTCGATAGATGCACTGGTACAATTATTTTAACCTGAAAAGGTGAGTAATAGAGTGAGCTTCGAAAATCTCAGTAATACAGAACTACCAGATGATGCAGAAGAACGTGCAGATACAGATAAACATACATATCCTTATTATTTCCAAATATTTATAGATTTTTATGCTGAGCAGAGATCCTACTAATATTTCAGATGGTAACGGACATTGAGCTTTCAGTTCAGACAAATATTTCGGATGACTGAGTTCAGGAGATCAGAATAGGTTATCTAGTGTGTTCCCAAAAACCATGTAACTTTTCAGATCTTTTAAAACATATATATATATATATATACTCCCATCCCAACACATCATAATGTGTAGGTTCCCCAGAACCATACACTCAACCCAACACATCCTATAAGGCCCTGAGCACAAAGCCGAGGAACCTGTGAAACTTCTTCCTTCAACAATACCCCCCAATTAAAACATTTTCCGTCCGTAAACGGATATATCAAAAATCAAAACATAAATCATGTCAAGTATCATATCAGAAATCAGTTCAAGTAACATATCAGAATCCAAGTCAAGTATCAGATCAGAATCCATGTCAGATATCAGATCAGAATCCATGTCAAGTATCAGATCAGAATTCAAATCGAAAATCAGATAAAATATTCACGTGAGTAGGGAACACACAAGAGTTTATAGTTATTGTTTAGAGGTACTGTATCAGGCAGAGAAACACAGTTCTTCAGTATGTCGATAGAATGTTGGAATTTAGAATCACTATTGGAAGAGTTCATTAACTGACAGAATCATCAGTTATTCAGAATGTGAATTATCATGATATTATCTTATTCGGACAGTTTTCAGAAGCTGTATGTAATCAGAAGGGTATTCAGAATCCTATACATCCATGTCAATTGATCGGATAATCGAACAACTTGAGAACAAAGATTCAGAACCTTAACAATATATGTCTACTGGTAAATTCATTTTCCTTCTAAGGTATTTACTCTTTAATACCACAAATTCTTGTCCGTAGACCAAATCTTCCAATGTCTTTATTTCATTTCCACGTTTCCATAATATCATGGAATGCTGACGTACTTGATTAATTTGTTCATAACCCATTGTAATTGTACACTACGTAAACTCATCAGAGTTTCCAGACTTATCCAAATCACTTATTAAATCCTCAGTCATTGAGGTTACCTAGTTCATTTAGCAGTCATGTCCATTCCAGTTACTTCAGAATTTTCCAGAGTAATTCAAACGTTCCTGAATTTCAGATACATGTTGTACTTCCATTCCATTCAATTTGGTCTTCGTGGTTGATTTGTCGAACAAACGTCCAATTCTTAGTATTGAATACGATCTTGAGCTTAGCTGAGCTGAATACTTCCAAAATTTATCATCGAGCCAAACTTGAGAAGACGAATACATGTTACAGTAATATCTATGCCATTTAGGTATTGACATAGCTTTAGGGTTGATCTACTCACTTAAACTATTTTCCATTACCTTTAAAAGTAGTCCAATACCTATGCTTACTTGGATTCCTTAATTAATCCAAGACATTTACTTAATATAGGCCATAAGGGTATTTTGGTCATTTTGGTTTTCAGTTTTATTCCAATCATAACAGAGCTCAAGGATATCCCATCATTCCTGAGCTTGGTGATATTCTTGGGTCATTTCCATTACAGGGGTAATTTGGTTATTTTACAGATCCACGGTATTTTAATCTTTTTCCTCCATGCGATCTTATTATTTAATTCCAATTTATCATCTATTCCATTCCGTTCGAACAATTCTGATAAAAGAGCACCCTCCGATAAATTGTTCTTCAGGTATTTACTCATAACTCGGATATTTTCGGGTCAAGTGCCTTCTCGGATTTTACAAACGCAATATTATGAATTTTTCTTTACAAAGACAGAATATTAATAATTAACTTTGTACTTAATCGAGTTAAGTACAAATCCTCAAAGTGCTTTCTTCTTCAGGGTCAACTCTGACTATTTTACCTCTCAAGGGCATTTTCGTAATTTCTTAACCAGATAATTTCGATATTATCTCTTAACGAAAATAATATAATATAGAGATCCTATGATTAATTGCTTCCTCGAACACTCTTTGATCTTGAAATGATTCCTTAAAAGAATTTTAGTATCTAGTATAAA